ACTTCCTAATCACAAACACTGACTCCAGCATTTAGCATATATCGAATTTCACGATCCCTTCGCCTTTTTTATTCTGATATATCTGCAGACAGTGTCTTGTTCGTCACTCTTAACAATTCAATTTCTTTATTTTCATGTATACGTTGCGTTGGTTTTAAAAATTTCTTGATGTTTGTGTTGATTTTTGTTGCAATATATAAACACGACGAATTATTTCAGTGTTGCAGGACTGTCAACATTTCTGCACATGCACAGTTTTTTTGTAAATTACTGCATAAGTATTGTCGTTTACTAGGAATGTTGTTTTTATTACGATTATTTCTGAACAATTTTTTGATTTCAGGAATTTTATATACAAAACTCATATTTTAATACGGGGACACTTTTTTTTGGTCACCCACTGTTGATGTGTCGTATCACTATGTGTGACAACACGTCAAAAATAACATCATTTCTTTTAAGTGTTGCCAAACAGAAGACATGTTTGGTGATATAATGACCAAAAGACTGTGAAAAGTTTAATATCAAAACTTTACAAAGCTATTGGAAATAGTTAAAGTCAAAGAACAATGACAAGTTTTAAGTTTGTATCATGAAGATTTGTTAGTTTTGTTAATATGACTATTAAGTGGGAGTGTTAAAAGGAATTAATAAGTTGTAATATTCATATAGTAGGACACGTGACACTAATGACGTCACATATGCATGCTTCCTTTTACACAGATGTGCAGAATTAATTGATTGCCTAGTTGCATCTATAAAGTTATTCATCATTTAATTTATAAGAAATCAAAGATTTTCAGTTTCTTATTATTTAATGCGATGAATTTCCATACATCAACCTTAGCGTCAACATCTTAGCCTTGACGAAAAGACATATGTAAAGTTACAATAATTAGCAAAATTCTTTGGCCGCCTTTAAAATGCAGACCTACAAAATTTAATAAGCTATTCTAGTTTATGACAAAGATAAACACAGTTGCTGATCAATGATGACATGCATGAGTCAATTTGCGATTTTAAAGTAAATGTACTTCGTGGTGAGTCATAAATAATTAAGTATACTTTAAAAAAGCCTTACCTTGTTTAAGATGGCAGTGATTTGTTTTTGGTAAGCATATTGTTCTTGTTTGGAATTGTAACTTCGTTTGATTTATCTACAATTACAGAATTTACAAGCTTCCATAGGTCACATTTATACGTCGTAATCAAGCATGAAAATTCTTTGTTTTTTGTCGAACAAACCCTTTACTGGTTAACTGTGTGTAGCCTTGAACAGTTAAACTTTTAGAAAGATTTAAAGTTCTGACAACTTAAGCATTATATATTCTTCCTTCGAGTCGATATGTGGAAAATTTTTTTGTGCCACAGAATTTAAAACATCTTAAAAATAGATTGTTATGTAAAGCAAAGATATGCTTTTTATTGTTTTATGCTTTTTATTGTTTTATGCTTTTTATTGTTTTGGTCATAAGTTTGAATATAATTTGGATAAAAATGATCAATAGAAATAAGTATACAATAATAAGTTATAAGAAATAAGAAATAAGTTATACCGTTTTTAAGATAGTTTGGAAGTAAGTACGTGGTGATAAATCTCAGCTACATACTCAAGGTATGAAAATTTACAATGTCAGATTTCGCAACTTTTTCTCGTTTAGTTTAAGATATGACCATAAAGTAGGAGTGTTAATAAGGAATTAATAATTTGCAATACTCATATCTGCTTTAAAATGTATTGTAACTATAATGCGATGGATTTGCATTCATGAACCTTCGCAATCAAAGCTTGACGAAAGACAATTGTAACGTTAAAAAGGTTAGCAAATTCTTTAGCCGCATTTAAAATGTTGACTTACAAACTATTTTATCACAAGGATAACACACTTCCTGATCAATATTTCTACTTCTAAAACGACTTAAATATCTAAACTATTCAATGATGACATGCATGAGTCCATTTGCAATTTCAAAGTAAAAATTGAGTCATAAATTTCCTTCAATAATAACACAAGCCATAAGGTGAAAAATGAAATAACACATATTTTACAAGAAGACCTTGTGGGGGCCAACGACTAATAGTTACTATAACAATCATTTTAACTTCCTTATAAACAAACACATCAACGTAAACATACCTTGTTTAAGATCGCAATGATTTGTTTTTGGTAAGCAAACTGTTCTTGTTTGGAATTGTAACTTTTGTTTGACTTTGATTAATCTACAATTACAGAATTATAAATTTAAGCACATTTACATGTCGTAATCGCGCATGAAAATGAAATATCTGAGCCGTTAAACGAAGCTTAAGCTTAAAAGTCAGTCAGTGGCTTCTCCGTGATGTATGTCATGTAAGAAAAGTAAAATTTAACACATTTTTTTAAAACGGAAAAAGTATGGCGGCCGTCAAATGAAGACATTTTGCGAGAAAATTTTACTTGGTTCGACAAAGTTCTGTAGGGTTAACAAGTATTTTGAGTAATTTTGTGTAATATAAGGGGGGTGGGGTGAAAAATTTCGTGCTAGGAACAGTCCAGGGGGGCAATCAGCTATCACTGAAAATGGCCCTCAAATATATATACTTAAAAAATGGGGCCCAAAGCCTGAGCCGAGAACCTTAGGTGCGAGTCGTGTTTGGGGAGTCCGTGGGCAAATGCTCCCAAGGAAAATTCTTTATTAAGAAGGGCTAAAATGCCATTTTCTGGACTTTGGGGAGTGAAATCATACTAACCGTATAATGCCAAATGCGTTTCTCCAACACAATTTTAAAATTTGACGCCCTTGTTCATTTCAGCGCCTCTTAAATCAACAGCTGAGAGAGCCACGGCCCGTGCCCTCCCCACCTTCCAGCACGACACTGAGAGGATGTTGGTAATTTCTCCACAGTTTTATAGTTTGGATGTTGTTGCTTGAACTGAAACGTCGTTTTATTAAAAAATGCCTTTGACAACATTTGTATTTAAGATTTTGAATACCGTACTACCTTGGAGAAAGTGAGACTGTCGCCATATTGAGTATGATCATAAGATATTATGTGTCTAGCGTACCTTAATGTGTGTTTTTTCGTTTATGTTGTAAATTTGAAGCGACTAAAGACCATTGAAAAATATTTTCTCAAATAGGTTTAATTCTTTGCTTCAATATTGATTGCACCAAAATGAAATATGTATTTGAAATCTAATTGTCGGAACTTATGTAAATAAGCAATTGATAATAGACCCTTTGCACATGACGTCACAGCTGATGTTCAGCTTCTTCTGGGGGTCAAGTAAGATGCTGCCATTTATAAATAAGTATTAGGTAGTAAAACGTTCGGTCATCATAGTTCACTTTTGTGCTGTTTTTGCATGCTCGAATCGATCTAATAGAGAAAAGAATGGACGGTTTTTTCGCCTACCTGCTGTCAAAAGTAATGTGAATGTGAACAAGAAGCAACTTCAACTTGAAAGGCAAAAGGAATGGCTTCGACGAATTTGCAGGGAAGATCTTACGCCAGAAAAGTTTGCGAATGCTCGTGTGTGTAGCGACCACTTCATATCAGGTTAAAAACACTTGTCTTTATCAGTACCAAGATACTAGTGTTCAGCTAAATGGTTAGCTAAATAAGTGATGTGTTATTTGTGATAAATATCTTTGTATTATCTGCATATATTTTGTATTAAATTTTTGTATGGCATTTTGTATTCCATGCAAGGAAGCAGTCAGCAAATGGGATTTTGCCTTAAGTTTCGATCAACCTTTCTTGTAAATGTCATAAAATAGAATGAATTAATTCCTACAAGCAAGCCAGCAGACCTACAAAAGAAAGATGACCCAGACTGGGCACCAAGTCAAAATCTTGGCCACAACAATGTGAAAAAGATAAACACAGAACAATCGTCTCCCTACAAAAAGATAATTAAAAAGAAGAGAAGATCTGAAACTGCTAATGCCCTTATAGCAATGTCAAGCGAGCAGCCCAATGAGGTTGCTGATAAAATGTACACCTCTGAACCAAAGGCAAATGAAATGTCAACACAGACTGATAAAACTGTCAATGAGCTGAGGTTACTTGAAGATGAGGTGGATTTTCTAAGGAAGGAAAATTCTGATTTAAAGAAAAAATTATTGCAAAAGGAACTAAATGAGGATGCATTTAAAGATGATGATGAAAAGGTACTCTTCTATACAGGTTTACCTACCTGGAAGCTTCGCTTGTGCCTTTACAACTTTGTGTCTGGCTTCTTGTCACAATCATTTAGGTGTATGCTTAGCCCTTTCCAGAGACTCATTCTTACATTAATGAGAATGAGACTCAACCTTTCTGGTAAAGACGTAGCCTATAGGTTTGGTGGAATTCATGAGGCAACTGTTTCCAGAGTTTTTATTCAAATGATGGATATTCTACATAGCAGGCTTTGTCCACTTATCCATTGGCCTGAACAAGAAGCCTTATTGAAAACAATGCCTATGGATTTTTGCAAGAACTGCGAAGCATGTGCTGTGATAATTGATTGTTTTGAGATTTTCATTGACCGTGCATCTAATCCTTTAGCCAGGGCACAGACATACTCACACAAACACCATAACACTGTCAAGTATTTGATAGGAATTACTCCCCAAGGTAGTGTAAGCTTCATATCTGATGGATGGGGGTCGTGTCAGTGACAAACACTTAACAGAAGAATGTGGTCTTCTAGAAAATCTTACTCCAGGGGATGTAATTCTAGCAGACAGAGGGTTTGACATACAAGAATCTGTTGGATTGTATTGTGCTCGTGCAAAGATACCAGCTTTTACAAAAGGAAAAAAGCAATTAAGCGGGATTGAGGTGGAACAAACTAGGAAGATTGCTAATGTAAGAATCCATGTGGAACGTGTAATTGGCAATGTTCGAAAAAAATATGGAATCCTTTCTGCAACTCATCCAATAGACTTTGTTGTTTCAAAAGGAGGAAAGACCACACTTGACAAAATAGCAACAGTCAGCTGTGCATTGAATAACATGTGTGATTCAGCAATCCCATTTGAATGAATGTTTATTATTTAGAGGCAATAGTGGATCTAAGGTAGGTCAGAATATGTTGATATAAATATATTTCCCATTTAAAATACTTTACAACTAGCATTTTTGATGATGTTCTGGTTCTTAAATATTTTTTTGAAAATTCTAACCAGCAACATTGCTGTTAAATTATTTTGAATTTAAAATTAGCTACTATAATGTATTCTGACCTACCCTGGATCTGCTAATGTATGTAGCTTTATACATTGAGTCGTATTCTTTTGTCCTGATGTGTGCAAGAGTAAAATTTCCCAAGCAGCTCGGGAAGGATCCCTTTGATAATAAATTTCTCTACTCGAGATACATTTTCTTTCCAAAACTTCTCATCTGGCAAAATTCTTTCTATGTAGAGCATTTTCTCACTCCACACAACAAAATCACAATAGCTGCGTGCACTGCAAAACAATTGAGCTTGGACCTGAAATAAAATGACATTATAACATTACTGTTAAGTAGATGTATGCAATATATATTTGTGTGTTGACTCAGCTGATACTGATTACAATTAACCACACATTTTCGCACATATCTGAAAATGCACCTGATAATAATAACAATGCTTCCTTTTAAGCCGTTTTCCAACTGGTTTTTCTTCCAGACAAAAGTCCTTGTCAGCTAGTGATGTGTCTAATGTGTCATCTTTATGGCAATAGGGACACTAAACATATACAATAACAAAAAATTGCTAAGACTCTAATTATTGATATAATTAATGCTCCATTATGTTATATGCTTAGATATATCATGATCAAATACCTTAATCTCACAGACACCATTGCCACAGCACTTGCAATTGACCAGCCCATCTGGACTTGCACCAATGAAGTCATGATCAACATTAATGAAGAAGCCACATTCTTCTACTTTAAAGGCCTCATGTTTAGTTCTTTGAAAGCTTTCATATGCATCCCTAGCTTGCTTTTCATGGTGACACCCCAATCTTGTAGCAGCAGTGCTAAACTTTCCTAGCTCAGGATGACAAATGATCAAAATTAAAGATTTTGATGGGCTATCTGGGCATGTCCGTGAGGCAGCTTTGAATCTTGAGGCAGTCACCCGGCCAATCCTCATTCTGAACCAAAGTCTGGACTCAGATTGCTGTCTAGTCATCTCTTCGACAATTCTTTGCTGCTCTGGAAGGACTGTATAGAGTAGTAGCTTGTGGGGAGCAACCTCTATCAAGGTAGCAAGGTCAGCACCTAACAAGCTTTTGTCATAAATATCAGACATCACAATTGGCAAATCAGGGCAACAGGACTTTGGAACAAATGGGTCAGAGTCTACTTTCTGTAGGTGGAGGCGGAGGAATTGTTATGGAAATAGGTGTGGGAGATGTTGAAGCTCCATTTTTTGAGAAGCAGATGTGTCTTACTCTTGCATATAGCACTTTCTTTACGGCTGAGGCATTTTACTCAATTAGACCCAGTAGGCTTTTTTGTCAGTGACACGAAGAGAGTCCCTTTTTCTGACACCAGCCTCTAAAGCCCATAGCAATGATGCTACATGGGAGCAGCTTTTCCCTAAACCAGCCAAATAATCACAGTGACCAGATAAAATCTTCCCTTCCTTCTCACAGATAACCCATGGAGTCAGTGGCTTCTCAGACATTTTTTGGGAGTGATTTACATGGATAGCAACAAATGATTGATGAGAAATATGGAGGGTGTTTGAACAAATCATTGCTAATTTTTAAATGTAATAAATTTAGCGTTTCACATTTATCTATTAGAAATAGAAGCCGATATCGTTTATTAAAAGTGAAGATAATTAATGAACACACATACCTTCGCAATCATCAGCCGATTATCGCCAAATTCTTTTACCAAAACTTCTCGAACCCAGCCAATCGCGAAGTTCTGGTAGCAGGAAAGACTTTTGTAGTTCATAAGCTCGTCCTGTGTATATGAGCTTGCCGAAAACAATAAATACATGCCCACGTTTATGTAAGAAACATACGGCCATAATTCCACACAATCTTCCCATTCGTTTTTTGGTATCTCGTATGGGTCAACAGAATGTAACAATGAAATTTTTGCCTCCTATCTCTCCCTACATTCTTTTGACCTTATACTAGCGTAGTAACCGGGCAGGAAACCTTTATGAGTTGGTTTTTTTGGAGGCATTTTACTCAATTAGACCTTTCACACAGTATTGCTCATAGAATAAATCATTGGCTTGCCACAATCATAGAATAGAGAATACATAAAAGGGCAACTTGCGTCGCTAACCTTTGATGTAAGCGTGGCGCGCAGTTTGTTTCGCGCATACCGGAAATGCGACGGCCGCCATTACTCTCGCCAGTAAAGTGTTGAACATTTACTATGAAAATACATGGAATGGAAGCCGTAAATGGGGTAGAAATGTAGATTTTGTGAGTTCTTGGCTGTTATTGGCACCTTGAAAGAAATTTAATAAAAATATGCCACGCGTTTCACCCGCGAGTTGCCCTTCTATGTATTCTTTATTCTATGCCACAATGCCATTGACCCCCAGAACATAACTTCCGGCGGTGACGTCGAAAAATGTGACGTCAGTGCAATGGGTCTGTTGTTTTTTGATACGAGGAATTTATGTTAATACTTTATTAGGTGTGACACGTTGAAAGTCAGGGTTCTTCTGTCGCTGGCTGTTAATGTAAAAGCTTGAGATGTTTAAGATTATATTGTGGAATAGTTATATTGAGTAAAATTGAGAATTGTGTGTCCACTGCGCGTGCAGTAGGATAGTATACAGTCTCAAAAAACGAATTGGCAGACGTATAACTGCTTTGTAATGACGTGATAAGAAGAAAATTGCTACACGTAGTCCTTCGAGTCGGAGATATTTTAGTTGGAGATCTATTTGGAAATTCAAGTTTGTTAGTCCAATAGCAGAATGGATGAATTTATGAGAAAGAAACGAAAGCGCGCAGGACATAGAGGGTCAGCGAGGAAAATTGCTAGTAAATTAAAGAGAAAATACGAGAAACGGACGGCGAGATCGATAGAAACGAACTGAGACAACTACGAGATGGATTGAACGACAAGATCGCAACATTGAAAATCCTTGATGATGCGATTATCGATATGCTGAGCAAAAGCAATGAGGAGAATGCGTAAGAAGAATTGGGAAAAGAAACTAAAGATGCAGACGAGATACGGGCAGAATTCGAGCGAGCAATTTTGGATGTGAACGACATCGTCCTGTAAATACGACATCGTGCGTATTTAAGGAATCTTTTACTCGAACCTGCAAGATCGACAATATCGGGATTCACCATAACTTCAGCGAACTATCACAAAGCTGTAGAATTGTTGAAACGAAGATACGGGAAAAAGAACGTGATCAAGAAAGCGCATAACCAGGAGTTAATAAACGTAAAACCCATAACGGACGAAAGAGACATGGACAAGCTTCGGCGGTTATACGACACCTGCGAGACAAGCTACTGGGGCTTAAAGGCCTTTAGAGTGGACGAAGCCGTATATTCTTCAATCGTAGTACCGGAAGTCATTGCAAAGTTGCCGGACGCTTTTCCATTGACAATAACAAGAGGATTCGATTTCACGGAATGGTCAATGAACGATACGTTGAGCGCAATTCTTAAAGAGTTGGAGCTTCGAGAAGCTCACACACCGTTCGGCGAGAAAACCAAGAGACAGGATGGGGAGAAACAACGAGAAACGTCGTAACAAAGACATATGGCGTCAGCATCAGCACTGCACGCAAAGCACAAGAGTTGCAACGAGGAGTCAACGAACGGTAAAGCGAAAAGAAAATGCGTTTATTGTCTCGGAACACAATCCTGAAGAATGTAAGAAAATAAACAATGTAACTGAGAAAAAACAACTCATTCGTAAGTACGGAAGATATTTAATTTGTTTGAAGAAAAGACATGTCAGTACGAATTGTAATAATGTAATGCATGTGGGAAGGCACACCATAGGTCAATTTGTGAAGCCAATGGGACTCTTACAGGCGATGTTGAAACCAACCATCTATTGTGGGATCTCATTGTTGGTTAGGGTCAGAAGGTCGTTTGATTCAGGAACTCACAATCACTTGTGAATAGAAAGATTATACAGGTAGCAGGTGTTCAGGCTAGTAAAAAGGAATGGATAGAAATCAAGTCGTTTGGTCAAGAGAAGGCTAAAGGTAAGCTGCGAGAAGTATTTCAATTAGAGTTGTCGTCACTTACGAGGGGAGAGAGTGTAAGCATCGAGGCATACAGTGTTGACTGTATATCTCAAATTAGGAATGAACATGTAGAGTTGAGAAAGATGGATTATTCACATTTAAAGGGTCTGTGGTTTACAGATGTTTGCAAGGATAAGGAAGTTTTAGATATTGAAGTTTTGAATGGAGCAAATTATCTTTTGTGGTTTCAAAAAGGGAATGTTTTTCGGGGACAGGTAGATGAAGCAGTTGCTGTGTCTACTAAGTTAGGTTTGGTATTATCCGGCCCCATGAAAGCGAGAAATGATTTGGATAACATGCACACTCAAGTAAACTTCATTGCACATGAAAGTTCAGGAAATTGAAGTTTAGATAAGAATGTCAACCGTTTGTGGGATTTTGAAATTTTGGGAATGGCAGAAGAAGATGAAGCTCATGAATCGTCAAGGGATTCTATTGTGCTTAATGGTAACAGATAGAGTGTCAAATTGCCTTGGAAAGAAAGACATATTTTACACTATACAAATTACAACATAAGCTTGAGAAGATTAAAGGGTCAGTTAGTACGGCTGAAAAGGTAACCAGAAATTTTAGAAGAGTATGAGAAGACAATCAAAGATCAATTGAGGAAGGGTTTTATAGAACCAGAGATAGAACTAGAGAAAGCTGATAAATACATTACTTACCACATCATGCGGCTACTCGCAGGGAAGCGAAAACAACTAAGATAAGAGTTGTTTATGATGCATCGTGTGAAGAGTCACTCAAGGCTTCCTCGCTCAATGACTGCTAGCATGTGGGACCCAAATTTGCACCTTTGCTCTTTTTATACTTTGATAAGTTTTAGAGAGAAGAGAGTCGCTTTAGTGGAAGATATTGAAAAGGCATTTTTGAATATAGAAGTTGATACTTTGGATATGGATTGCCTAAGACTTTTATGGGTTGATGGCATATATAATGAGAGAGGGAGACCTTTAGAATATCGATTTTGTAAAGTAGTGTTTGGGGTTAACTGCTCTCCATTTTTGTTGAATGCAACACAGCAGTATCATTTAGATTCATTACTAGAGATAGACAAAGAATTTGTTAAAAAACTCAAAGATAGCTTTTATGTCAATGATCTAGTGTCCGGTGAAAAATCCAAGAAGAAAGTAATGAGGTTGTATGAGTCAGCAAGTGAGCGATTGGCTGCGGGAGGATTTAGGCTTAGGAAGTGGCTAAATAATGATGAGAATGTTTTTAAAAAAATAAAAAAGAGAGAAAGAAGCATTTTAGAAGAAAGAAGGGAAGAATTTAGTAATTCGAACGTGGTTGATGAGCAAACTTATGCCAAAGCATCAGTTGGGGAAAATAGTATCAGTGGAAGTTTTGAGAAAGTACTAGGATTGGGACGGGAGTGTAATTAGGAATGCTTTGTATTTAGCCTCTGGAAATGCTGAAAGAGCAAAGGCAATCATTCCAAGAAAATGAAATATACTAAGTATACTTGCAGGATTATTCGATCCCTTATTTATTATGAGTCCAGTTGTAGTTTGTGCTAAGTTATCGTTTCAGGAGCTGTGTATTGAGAAAGCTGAATGGGATAATGAGCTAAAAGGTGACAAGAAAAAACGTTGGGAGAGATGGATAGAAGATTTAGAGAGAGTCAGGGATTTAGTTGGGGCGAGATGTGTGCATGGTAATATACTTGGTAAGGTAAAGTGTTACTTGCATGGGTACGCAGATGCCAGCCAAAAGGCATACTGTGTGGTCTCATATTTTGTGACAAAGCTAAACGGTGCCTACCACGTAGAGTTGCTTACGTCGAAAACAAGGATAGCGCCAATTAAAAATTTCAGACAATTCCCAGACTAGAACTGATGTCAGCTAGAATATTAGCACAGTTGATGGACATAGTCAAGTTGGCCATGGAAGGTTACGTTCAATTTAATAGTACAAACTATTGGTTGGACAATGACTCCATATGACTGCATTGTGCTGATTCAGTAACAGGCGAGAATTGAAACAGTTTGTGCGCCATAGAGTTAACGAGATTTTAAGATTGAACTGGTAGGATAATTGAAAACATTGTCCGG